TACTGCTCAGCAGCAAAGCCCCTTTAATTAAAAGAGCAAGAGGCCCTGTGACAGGCCTCTTGCTCAGCTAGGAGGGGTCTCCTCTTACACCCCACAGGCCCTCCTGTCTCCCAGAGTGGGGAGTTGAACCAGGGTCACTCACAATCCAAGCAAGTACCCTAACCCCCATACCATAGAGGGACATGAAAACTTACCTTGCTCCGGTTAATATATAGTCAAAGTGGAAGGCTTGAGCGGTAAGAAATTGAGACACCCATACTGTGTCAGGGAAGGGATTTGAACCAGCACCTCTTTGGTTCTTAGAGGAGTAGCCAGACCACAGGACTACAGTGGGAATCACGCAGAGGGCATGGCCCAATTCTCATGTAATACTTACTGAAGGTGTCCTACCTTCAACAGAAAAGACTGAGCGAGACTCCTCAGCCCACTACCTCCTAGCCAGGCACTTAGGCCATTCAGTTGAGAGGTAGGCCATCAACCTGCAAATCCCTTCTCAGGGAGCATAAAGGGGATTTGAACCGGCACCTGTACTCTTCTAGGGGAAGGCATCTAACGCACTGGACCACAGAGGGACTCACAGTGGGTCTGTGGCCCAGTGACTGTTTAATTACCTAATGACATTGGCCCACCTTCAATAGGAAACACTGAGGGAGCCAGCCCATTGGAATACCTCCTAGCCCAGCACTTAGAGCATTCACTTGCCAGGTAAGGGATGAAGGTTCAAATCCCATCTCAGACAGCATAAAGGGGATTTGAAACCCAACCTCCCCCAGGCTGGGCACACACCCCAGACACACACCCCAACCACTAGGCCACACTGGGCTGCTTACTTGTGGCTTGGCCCACAGAATATGTAATGAAAGTGCAGCAGCTTCAGCAGACAAGAGCAAGGGAGCCCCAGGGGCAGAATATTGCCTAGCCCAGCACTTAGAGCATTCACTTGCCAGGTAAGAGATCGAAGTTCAAATCCCGTCTCAGCCAGCATAAAGGGGATTTGAACCCTAAGCTCCCACAAACTGAACACAGCCCCAAACCACTAGGCCACACAGGGCTAGTTGCTAGACTTGCTTCCCAATGAATATGTAATGAAAGTGGAACAACTGCAGCAGAAAAATTAGACGCCATCACCACCAGATCCCAACTAACACCACTCTTAGTCCAGCAGCTGCATGTTCATTCACCTTGGAGGCAGGAAATGGCTCTTCAAGTCCCTTCTCAGCATCCTGAGGAAGGAGTTGAACCTGCATCATCCACATGCTGGGAAAGTACCCAAGCCACTGGACTACAGAGGGATTCGTGGAGCAAACCTGGCCAGTTACTACTGAATGAACGTGGCACAGGCTCGACACGCTACAATGAGCAAGCCTCCTCAGGCCGTCCTTTACTTCAATATCAGGCTCATGCTTGAGAGATTGCAGAGCCCTCTTCAACTCCCTGCTCATCAGGCAGGGAGAAGGAAATTGACCCAGCGTCTTCCCCTCCCCACCTCTGCTTGCCAGCCGTGGCCAGGAACCACTCAGGTGACTTTGGGGCCTAACCCATTTCGTGTGAGGTGGCTAGGGACCTGCCGAACGCCTCGCAAAACAACCCAGCAGGAAAGAGGCAGAGGCCTCCCAGATAACTTTTCACCTAGTGTTTAGGTGAATGGCAGATTGGGAGGCGGCTGCTTCGAGCGCTTTTTTTTGTTTTGTTTCATCAGGTGGGAGTCCGAGCGCCTTTTTTTTTTTTTCCCGCTTCGGCGTAGCAGGGGTTGCGCGCTTAAAAATTTTTTACACCTAGGGGTGCGCGATTAAAAAAGTTTGGAGTCC